GCTTTAGGCGAAGGCCGCTTGCCCCTCACCTTCCAAGTACGCAGAATTGCTTCGGGGGACCTAGTGGAGCTGAACTAGAGGCTCTCCTGTTCGGTTCTTAGCCAGCAGGATTTAGGATGTAATATGGGCATTACATAGGAAGTACATAGGGATGATCTGGGAAGTACATACTGATTATAGAAGAGTTACAGAGGAAGCGCATGGTCACTATACAGCATTTCGCTTTTCTGTGAGCCCTGCCGTGTTTACCCCAGGCCTCATCTCATCGAATGTATCGGATAGGTTACAAGTGATGAGCCCATCAATTAATTGCCTGCCGGAAACTGGCGGCTGCGAAGCTCTGAAGGTGCACTCAGCTTTCAAATTCTAGGGAACGGGCATGCACCTACGGCAACAGAGAGTTCCCATTCAATTGTTTTGCGTCTGATGGCTCCCCTAAACCTTCGCCCATAAGCCCAAGCATCGATCGAAGAACAAAGGCTCCTGCGTTCCGAACAGGTACTCGACGACTTCAGCGAGTCCAGGACGTGTTACCTAAAGGAGCCATTCCTAGTGCTTCAGCGTGCTTGCATAGTTTTGGGGTTTAGGGTTTGGGTGTATTCTTCTTGAGAATACCTCAGCCTCGGGTTGTGAAGCTGGACCTAGGCCAAGTGAGTTGGAGTGCTGGCTCTAGGCACAAGCGGTGCGTGCTGGCCTTGTAATGACTTGGAGGGTCATGGGGACTTAGTAAGTGGGCTAATAATGGGGATAATTGGGGTTATTTTAAATGGCTTCTAGGGGTTATTAACCTACTTACTAAGTCCCCATGACCCTCCAAGTAAGGCATCCCAACTGTGTCTTCCATTGGCTTATCTCGCCTCAAGCAAGTTCAGGTGATTGCATAAGAGACGTTGAAGCAGCTACTCTGTAGGATGCTGGCAGCGTGTCGGCTCAACGCAAGCCACGTTGACTTAATTGAAGAACGGTGAGCAGCTGGTACACTGCAAGCAGAAAGGGAGACAGATGCTGCCTGATTCGTCATTCAGGTATCTTGTCTTCATACTTACCCCAGAGCTGCGCTGAAAGCGTTCCTTCCTTCTTTCAGAGACCCTCGCATCAATATGCAACAGTCCCATTTGGCCGTTTGTGGGGTGACGATGCTCAACTTGTTTAAGTATTCTTGTGTTTTGGGTTGTAGATCAGCCCGGCTCTAAGCATGGCATCCAACAGTACAAGCATGACAAAAGCAAGCTTAGTGGTGATGATGATGATGAAGGTAAAGATGCAACAGGAAGTACCTAGGAGTTGAATTTTCAAACATGTTGGTTGTCGTAGTTGTGCTTCAGCGTCACAGCTAGACCCCCCACCTCACGGCATACTCATCACGCAGCCGCTGTGGCATCCCAACACAGTGCACCGCTTGATGTCGGGCTGGTTATCAGAATAGCCGTGCTTGAAGCTTAGAGGTTTGATAGTCAAAAATAATTCAATAGTTTGTCCCCAAGAACCTAGACCAAATTATGTTGCACAGGCAAACAGCCCATAATTCCTGGTTCCACTGCTTCCCCCGCCATACGCCGCTGCCAACTGCGGGTGGTGGTAGTGACAGATGCAGCAGGGCGCCGACGCTGACCTGGAAGGCCAGAAAATCTTGCAGGCATAAGGTCTGCCATATGGAGGGTTGTCAGAATTATGGTCCTTTTTTGGGTACCCTAAATATTAGGTGCCGTATTATAATAGGGATCCAAAAAAGGGACCGTACTTTGACAACCACCCATATGAGTAGTATGTTACTTCGAAATACGAAGAATCAAATTGAACATAAAATGCAAGCTGGGATTATGTTAAGGGTTATGTAGAGTTCTCATTCTGGTGTACTTACTAGTATCTTATATGAAGCGTATTATGCAGACAAGGCTCTTCCCGCATTACCGTTTAGTGGTGTCGTGGCCATGGAACAGGACTGCGATTTTGATCGCGTTGCCCATCTCAAGAAACCAAAGCCCTAAACCTCTAAACCCCTAAACCCCTGAAGCCTTTTGGGCCCCTACTTCCCTTTGCCTGCCCGGTCTCCATCAGCTGGTGGCAGATGGGGATTTCCCCAAATCCAATATAATCGGGGTACCTATGGTGGAGTTCCTACTACAATAACGAGATTTCCAAAATTCGGGAACGGTACCTAGACACCTATACGGCCCTATACCCTACTTCTTTTTCAGGATAGGGCGAGCAAGCTTTTTTCTTCCCCTTTTTTTTTGGTCTCCTGGTGCCGTGGTCCCCTTGTCCCTCAGACGGAAGGAAGGAAGGAGGGAGGGGAGGGAAGGAAAGCAGGAACGACGGCTACCGGCTTTTACGACTAGTACTATTAGTTGTTGGTATTTATTCCTGTTAGTTTTTTTACTCTTTTGTTTCGTACCAGTAACTTTGTTACTAGTGTTGCTATTGCTATATTATTATTGATATTAATCTGGCCGTTCTTTTTGCTGTTATGCTCACTACTATTCTATTGTATTCTTGTTTATTGCTGCATCAAAATGTGTGCTCTCGCGTGGAGCTTCCTCACACTTTTGCTCAAAATCAAGCTCTGTCTCACGTAGAGTGCCTTGGCATTTTTGCTCAAAAGCGAGCTTTGGCGTGGCGCGTCCTCACATTTGGTTCCAACACTGAGCTTGAGAGTCGCATGCAGCGTATAGCTACAAGCCGAAGCTGGCTAATCATTTCCCCCAATAATTACCGCCCAACCCCGTATAATAACAGATATTCCCCTATATATATATATATGATGGTACCATATAGGTTTACTATTAGGGGAAGGGAATATCTTTATCGAAGCTCATTCGCATTATTCTAAGGTGCCATTTTAGGATAAACCAGACATGTCCCCTAACGTAACCTAAACATAGGTAATTGTAGCGGCCTTTCGGGGCCTTTCAAGTGCCACCCAGTGAATGTTTTATGGCGTTATCAGGCGTTTTCCGCTTAGAACCTAAGCCTTCAGTCCTGAACCCTGTTCCTGTAGTTTCGCTGGGAATTATGAATATAAATTGTCGTATAAGGCTAAGAATATATTTTTTTATTATAGGTATATGGAGACTACAGGTTCTTATTTAGAACCTGTAGCCTCCGTAGACCTATTAAACAAATACTATTTCTAATAATTCCTTAGGGCTATACTATAAATTCGCCATGTCTTCCACACATTTGGCAAGGCCCCGGCAACTTTGATGACCTGCTGCGGCCGCGCGAGGTCCCGGAGGCGGAGTGCCATGATGGAAAAGTAGAGCATCCTGACATTTGAGGTTTAGGGGTTTAGGGTTTAGGGGTTTAGGGGTTTAGGGTTTAGGGTTTCTATAATATGAGGTTCTTTAGGGGCCCTTTAAAGGGATTACATCGAGATATTTGATTAGAACTACTAGAATAAACGCATGAACTGGACACCAGGTGTATGTAGTGTCACAGAGACAGCTGTCAGGACTGTTGGAAGAGAAGCAGTTCAAAATTCGTTGGTAGTGCTTTGAGAGCATGTCATGCCAGTGTGATCCTCAAAAACTACAGCTTTTCCCCTACCCAGACCCTGCAACGATCCTGGATTTAGGCCTACGTACTTCTTAAAACCCTAAACCCTAAACCCTAAACCCAGTACTAGGGGGATCCTGGTACTTTGCAAGATCTGTCTGGCAACTCGTACTTCCGGGATTTGGTTTTGCATTATCACAAGTGATGCGGCTCCCATACTCTACCAAGAAGTGCCCTACCCAGTGAACATGCTTGTATGGAAGCGTGCTGGGGGTGAGTAGGGAATAAGGGACTATTGTATATAGGGATGATATGTGGATCATATTCCCGCATTCCTCATTATAACCCCAATATATACTCTATTATGATATAGTAGTTTCTATTTTCTTTTCCATTAGCCCTAAATAACCCCAACATATTTCGTTACTCCTGGTAACCACCAGCAAGACGTGCTGGGTGGTAGGGATTTTTTTGCAGTGGCAGGCCAAGGAGTCGATGCGCGTGGGCTTCTCCATCATCGGCGAGCCAACAATCGTCCCCTCAACAGGTCCGCTGCGAAGAAGCCTGGTGGGGCCAGGACTTAGTCAGTGAGTGAATAACCCCTATGGGCCATATAACAACCCTAGTTGTCCCCATTTTTTACCTACTTACTAAGTCGCCTTGACCCGTCAAGAAATGATTAGACGGTAGAGGAAGAGGCTTCACGACCTCAGAGATGGCATTTGGCAACGCAGCTGAGTAAATCCGTGCTTTCTAGCAGGTGATTGACTACCAATGACGCATGAGTCACCGGAGTCGCCATGTTTCGCCATGTTCATGCAGTTCCAACAGCCCGATGGCTACCAAGAAATGGGAGCCAGATTCCCTTGTGAGTTTTATCGGTGATTAGTTACATTTCATCCTAAAGTCTCCGCATGCTTCAACAATCAAACTTGGAGGCATCGCTGTGGGGACAGAGCCTTCGCTGGATGCTGGAGTGCAGTCGGACGGCCTGCCGTTAGATGAGGCCTATGCCAACTGAGATGTGGGAGTTTTCCAGATTGGGGGTGCCCTTTTACAGGGGTGTATTAAGGGGCAATCTAGGGGGATATACAGGGTTTGGGTTTAGGGTTTTCGAGAATTAGCGGTATTTTCGGTGGGTCCCCATGATAAGGATTATAGTATGTTAGGGGGTCTATATTGGGCTCCACTCATTTTGGGAACTGCCATGCTTAAATATCTAAAGCTTGAACGTCCTCCAGTTCTCAAAGCAACGTGCGGACCATCTTGCCTAGAAACACTTTGAACAACAACAACAACAGCAACGAGCATCGAGCAGGCATCAATAATCCACGGAAGAGCTTAGCAATATACTATAATATACCATAATATTTTATAATATACTATAATTTACTATGATATACTATAATGTACCATAATACATTATGATATATTATATATATTATTATATATCACAATATATTATGATATACTATGATAGAAGCTCTGTAGCCTTTTGGCTCAAGGCTGCCAGGCTGCCAGCCGGTCAGTTAGTATCTGCCAATTTTCAATTCATGCACATCTTCCGAAAATGCGCGTCGGTCAGGAGGGACCTTACGATGATGAAGTGGTCCCTGACACCCTCTTGCATGTCTACGTCTACTTCGTTGAATGGCACGGCCGTCCTGAACGGTCAGTCTGCTACACCTGATTTCGATCACAACGATTATAACTCACATCTTCGTCAGCTGGAGCAAGGTTCGAAAGTCCAGCTCCAGGACGCGTTGCGCTTTGCACATCAGTTCCAGTTTCTAGAACAAGCTAGCACAGAGACAGACAGGGAGAGAGAGAGAGAGAGAGAGATGGTTTGCAGGTTTGCAGTGGCCTTCACCAGGGCATCGGCGTAAATTCAATGTTTGTGCCAATGGCGTGGGTGACTGATGCCATGCATATCTTCGAGTAGTGTCCTATGAGCAATGACTCTTAGTAGCACACTGAGTTCGCCATCCTCGAGCGAAAGCTGTGATCTGCATTACACCTTGGTCCTTCGTCCGATGACCTTCATCAGTCAGACAATCTCGCTGGCGGGGTTGGCTCCTCTTTGTAAGGTAAGGTCATTTGGCTGCCAGAAAGAACAGCAGGAGGGTCGGCTACTGCGTGCCCTATACTGCACCGTGCAACTCCCCACATGGAAGGATTTGGGCTGTTTATATTCATTATACACTGGGACCCTCCTTGTGCCCTTAAACAATGGTACCGGGTTAGAATAGAGGGTAGGCGGAGGGTCTAGGAACTGTGTAGCAACTTCCCTGTGCCATGATGTGAGAGTTGTCCTGTGGTGTATTGCCTTTCAAGTCTTACAGCTGCTTTGGCAAGCGGAGAAGCTCATAGCTCCGGCCACATTTGAGTGTCACGAATCTGCTTCTCCAATTCTCAGGTGAGTACACGGGTTGTTCTCAAAAGTATGCGCCCCTTTCAGTTGCAGATGATATTACGGCACCTAATATTTAGGGGGTACCAAAATGAAACCCTTAATTTTGAGAACTACCCACATACAGACTAATGGGCCCCTGAAGCCTAAACCCTAAACCCTTAAATCCCTAACTTACCTGAGTTTCCATGTCATTTTCCATGTTTTCCATTTCGTTCTCCATCATAGGAGGATACTACAAGGGCCGGGGCCCCTGTATGCGTGTGCAGTACCCGGAGCCTCTGCAGTCCCCACGGCTGAATAACAAGCATAAAAATCTGCGCCCAAGCTCCCGATAGGGTGTAGGGTTTAGGGCATCGGACATCACCAGCTCGCGGCACGCCCAAGTCTCCCTTCTCGGAGGGGGGCACAGCTGTGAGAAGAAGAAGAACAAGAAGAAAGACTGGGTTGCTGATGAGGAACTTCTCAAGTTACTGTAATAAGGAAACACCACTATGTACTACATACTCATATCACGGTAACTTAATTCAAGCTTCTTATCTGCAACCCAGGGGAGAGGGAGAGAGAGAGAGCGAGAGAGAGAGAGAGAGAGAGAGAGACAGACAGAGGACATTTCACCATGCCGGCAGGACCTCCGTGAACGTTCCTGGGACTCCAAACTTTCCAAAGAGTTCATCATGCGCTTGCACAATGGGATTTATGCCAATGAATTGCGTGGTTCGCGCAGCTGGCGGGGAGCTGTTCTAATGAAGGATTCTGGATGCTGGTTAACATGTTTTTGTGTGAGCAGTCTTTAGAGGAATCACCAACTTACTCAGGCCCGGACAGCTAAGTGATTGAATGTGGGAAGTGTTTAACATTAGGAGAAGCCTGCAGTAAGCTGGATGGCGGTCCTTAAGCACGTAGGCCTTTGTTCTGAGACCTAAACCCTAAACCCTAAGGCTCCAGGTCATTTAGTAACTAGGTTAAGAACCCTCATAAGCCATAGAATAACCCCGAATATCCCTATTCTGGACCTATGTACTAAGTCCTCTGACCCTAAACCCCATACCCTACACTTGCTAAGTCCACCTGACCCTCCAAGTGGCAGTTTCCCAAAATAAGGGGAACCTAATTTAGACCCCAAAATATTATAGTCCTTATTATGGGGACCCCCGCAATGGTAGCCCTAATTTTAGGAAACCCCCAAGTAGACCCCCAAGCTGAAGGATTGCATCTCCTTGGCCAACTACCAGCGGCTCTTGCAACTGGGTTGTTGAGGGTTTAGGGCGCTTAGGGTTTAGTGTTCGGGCATTAAGTCTTACCATTATCAACACATCTGGTAGTTTATGCGGTTTCCCTACAAGAGTAAGGTAGCTCAAGTTCCTATAGCCCCCGAGGATAGCGCCGTTTCCATTTCATGTTCAAGCTGTCGTCCATGTTATTCTCCATTATTCCCATGTATCCCTAAATACGCCTATACAAACCATATATATATATATATGGTACCCCCCCCCCAAAGATCCACCTT